ATTAATATAAAGATAGTACCGGACTTGATGAACAATTCTATACATACAAAAAAAAAATTTAAGTACTAAAGTCCAAAAAATTGTTTGAAAGATGCTAGCAAACTTGCTAGCACAGGCATTCTTAATGTAAACAAAACTTTAAAACAATGGGAAAAAAGGTAATGGAGACCCAACTTTCGCCATACAAACAAATCAACTTACAAACAGCCTCTCGGTCCCCATTATGTTCTTAAGTTGGGGACTTACTGTATATATATTTTATATTTATATAATTATATATACATAAGGTATATGTGAACCGTATTCATGTTGAGATATGTAGAAAAGGTATGAATGAGAATGAATATCTTCACAATACAAGAGATGTATTTGACTAGTATCTATTATATCCTCGCCTGAAATACATGTATTTCTGACGAAGATATAATCGAAACCAGTCAAATACATGTCTCGCATTGTGAAGATATTCATTCTCATTCATACCTTTTCTACATATATGTAGATAGATAGATAGATAGATTGATAGATATATAGATATAGATATATAGATAGATAGATAGATTGATAGGTTGATAGATATATAGATATAGATATATATATAGATATGTGTGTGTGTGCGCGTGTGTAGTTCTGTCTATTTGTCTATTGATCTGGAGTCTGTACATGTTTATATTTATTTTCCTTTTTTTTTTCCAGGGAGGAGACATGTCATTATCAGAGCTTCTACAGGTTCTAGACTCGGCCCCTCTTTTATCTTACCACATCAATACATTCATGACTGCCTTGCACCAGGTAACTTTTTTTTGGACATTTTTTGTTATCTTTTTTTGAATTTAGGAAATGTAAATTAATTGATAAACATGATTGAAAATCTAATACGGTTGATTTAAATAAATATTTGGTATAATCTGCTATTTTATTCACATATTTTCAAATTCCACAGATGTATTGTAGTAGAATTGACAGCCTTCTAGACCTGTTTGATTCTGTGGAGAAATTTGCTATCCAGGATCAAAGTCGAATGGAGACGTTTCCCTGTCTGTGGACTAGTGTTGTTGGTATGTTGTGTACCTATGATATCTTCTCTTTTTTAGTTTTGATATTAGCGCTTCTTATATTATTTCCCTTTTTCATATTATCATTGCAGTGTTATAGGTCATCTAAAAGTACAACAACCCATTGGGAGACTACATGTAGATGTGAATAAAAAATCATGTAAAACCAAGACCGTTCATGGGTAGATTTGTGCTGTAGTATGTCCACACCTAATTTTCCTCTCTCTCTCTCTCTCTCTCTCTCTCTCTCTCTCTCTCTCTCTCTCTCTCTCTCTCTCTCTCTCTCTCTCTCTCTCTCTCTCTCTCTCTCTCTTCTCTCTCTCTCTCTCTCTCCTTCTCTCTCTCTCTCTCTCTCTCTCTCTCTCTCTCTCTCTCTCTCTCTCTCTCTCTCTCTCTCTCTCTCTCTCTCTCTCGCTCTCTCTCTCTCTCTTTTCTCTCTCTTTCTCACTCCTCCCTTTCTCCCCCCCCCCCCCCCTCTCTCTCTCTCTCTCTCTCTCTCTCTCTCTCTCTCTCTCTCTCTCTCTCTCTCTCTCTCTCTCTCTCTCTCTCTCTCTCTCTCCCTCTATCTCTCCCCCCCCCCCCCCCTTCTCTCTCTCTCTCTCTATATATATATATATATCTCCTATCTCTCTCTCTCCCTCTCTCCTATCTCTCTCTCTCCCTCTCTCTCTCCTCTCTCATTCTTTCTCTCTCTCTCTCTCTCTTTCTCTCTCTCTTTCTCTCTCTCTCTCTCTCTCTCTCTCTCTCTCTCTCTCTCTCTCTCTCTCTCTCTCTCTCTCTCTCTCTCTCCTCTTCTCTCCTCCTCTCTCTCTCTCTCCTCTCTCTCTCTCTCCTCTCTCTCTCTCTCTCTCTCTCTCTCTCTCTCTTTCTCTCTCTCTCTCTCTCTCTCTCTCTCTCTCTCTCTCTCTCTCTCTCTCTCTCTCTCTCTCTCTCTCTCTCTTTCTCTCTCTCTCTCTCTCTCTCTCTCTCTCTCTCTCTCTCTCTCTCTCTCTCTCTCTCTCTCTCTCTTCTCTCTCTCTCTCTTTCTCTCTCTCTTTCTCTCTCTCTCTCTCTCCCTCTCTCTCTCTCCGTCTCTCTCTCCCTCTCTCTCTCTCTATCTATCTATCTATCTATCTATCTATCTATCTCTCTCTCTCTCTCTCTCTCTAAGGCTGCTTCACCCTATTGTTATGGAAGTTTGTAGTAGATAGGTATAAGGAATTGGTATTCTTTTGATATAGATTTAAGTTTTGAAAAGTGATAATTTTCAGGCAGTAATGATTTTGTGTAAATTTGACATTCCTATAATGAAGTTAGACTTCATGCATATTAGCAGTTTATTATTGTGGTAGAAATAATTCATTTAAGGCCATAAAGAGGTAAAGATATAATGGTTGTATTTATATATTTGTTGGGATTCTGTGCTGTATGCGAAAGTCAGAACGTGTAAGATATAAGATATAAAATCTTAGCAGTAGTGAATTCGAGCTGAACAGTAAGACAAAAAGTGGCTTATATCTGAAAGATAGAAAATAACCTGGGGGATTCATATGTCAAATTATTAGGGGAAAATATTATAGCAGAACATATCTCAGGTGAAGGCAGAGAATATCATATAGCTATTTTCAACTTCATAAACAGTAAAGTATGTAGAACAAAATCCAAATAAACTATTTTCAGGTCTCTACTTACGACGGTTAAACTTATCTTTTCGTCGTTTGAGTTTCTCTCAAGTAACATCCCTGTACCAGAGGTTCAGGCACTATTATGAAGAATGTTATGCTACTCATAATAACCAGATGCATCAGCAGACAGATGTACAGGTAAGAAATTTTAGTTTTTTTTTCCACTGCCACTGAGAAAATGTAATTGTCACTTCAGTTTTGTTTTGTGAAATGTTTCTACAAATAGATGGTTCCACAACTCCTCAGTCACAAAGGAGTCAATTTGTAGGCCTAATGACCTCCCTGGTTTCAAATTTCCTTTTTTTATGTTTTATTTTTACTAATGCTATCATTATTGATGATATTATTAGGTAAAAATATGGTTTGAGTAATTTCTGCTTTTTCCAGTAAGTAAATATCTTCATTATTCATGTCAGGTCAACTCCTTGGACAGGGTGTATTTTAGAAAACTGAATAATAATAAATATTTTTAAAAATCCACAAATAGCAAAATGTTCTTTATTGTTTTTTATTGCACAGAGTTATAGAGTCTGTGCAAAGAAAACATTCATTTACCATCTTGATACAGTATATCAGATGACAAATATAGACCTTGAAAAATTGGCAAAAGGGCTAAAAATACTTATGTAGGAAAAGAGATTACATTGAAAGCCTAATGCCTGGATTTTGGGCCATTTGTGGCCAGCAAAGTACCTTGATCCAATAGGTTAATCTCATAATGCTGGGTACCCTATACACATACCATTGTGATCTTGTCATTTCCACCCAGTATCAAGGGAATATCCTCTTGCTGTTGTCATGATGTGTATATTGGTCACCTGGCACCAAAGGGATAAGGAATTAGCCTTCTTTTATTATACTGCTTTCTTTTTCATGTGTTTAAAAACACCAATGACTGTATAATTGATTTTGTATTGATAGATGATTGTAACAGCTCTGGTATTTTGCCCTGAAAAGTTGGAGTACTTCAGTCATTGTAATTAGTCTTATATGGGTGACAATTTTCATATTTTTCCTGTATACTTTTATGTGTACCTCCATTAGCTTGCAGTGTACTCTATACATGGTGATAAGTGGATTTCTTGCTTGACTTGTTGGCCTGAGAGATAAAAATATGATAATGAAAAAGCCTTCACTTGAATATTAATTCTTGGAGATTGGCAAAGCAAAATAATAGATAATGAAAAGTCTTTACTTGCATATTAGTTCAGAGAAGAAAAAAAGACTGTTAAGTCAAAATATAAGAAAAAAACAAGACAAAACACCAAGTGGTGTTTATGAGGCTTGGCCTGCTTTCCATCCTCTCCTTTTTTAGGTTTTTGTGAAGTGTATGGCTTTCTATGCAGGTATAAACATTTTCTGGCCTTCAGTTCAAGGCATACTACTGGGTGGTCTTAGGATTCTTGATGTATGTGCAGCTTAATACCTTGCTTTCCTGCCAGAAACCAGGAAGGCATGGATTGTCTTATAAATTACCATATCCAAAATTGTAACCATTAGTTACAAGGTTTTACTATGGTTTGAGAATTTGTTGATATATACATATGGAAATAGCAAAATGTGTTAACCTAATGCCGACGGGTATGACGTGTACGTACGTGCTATGCCCACAGTGAGTACTTGTTTGATTGTTTTTACGTATAGATGGCAACACTTGTACTAAATCACCAATGAGCCAGTTACGAGTACCGCCCGTCTCGCCCGTTTACCCTTTTCTTTGATTTACGAAATATTTTACGTTATCTTATTTTGCTGTTACTAATGTTAAAAAACATTATAATAATTATAATGTTTATGATAAAAATAACACTTGATTTTTATAACACCAGTGAAAAATACGTTTTTCCCGCCATTTCAAATCAGACGCTAGCAGAGCCATCTATCGGCAGACAAACATAGAAAGTTGAAATTGATGTAAAATGTGCCCTTGGTTTTCCTTTTCCTTTTCCTTTTCCTTTTTTTTTAAATTTATTATTATTTTTTTTTTATTATTATTTTTTTTTTTTTAGTGAACTCAATCTTGAAGAGTATTTTTCCATTTAATTTCCCTGTGTGTTTTCACAGTACACTTGTATCTACATACAGCTAGAATTACGATTAATTATCATGGACTATAAACAGAAATATGCATTTTTAGATGGCTGCTGAAGAGTCAAACATAACAGATGATATTGATTCTGATGCCAAAATGGAGGATATGATGGATGAGACAAGAGAAGAAACAGGAGCAGATTTGACCATGTGTAGTGCTGAAGTTCTTGCCATCAACAGCACTGACGGTGATCCTACCTCTCACCCAGAACCTGAACCACTGATGCGTCAAAGGTAACTAAAAGGATTTCAGAATCTACCGAAAAATGCACTGAAAACTTAAAGACTTTAATTCCACTATAAATTAATTTATGTCTGATGTAACAATATTGATAAAACATAAACCATAAAAAGTAATAATGATATATAAAAACAGAAGCTACTTATTAATCTGGATAT